TAGAATTGACTTGGTAAAAAGTGTGTGATGTTCCTGAATAGCAAGTTCAGTAGACTGACACCAATAATGTACTTCACTTTATCTGTTTTAAAATCACATGCAGCATTTAGGAAAGCAGTTAAAAAGAACAGTGTTCAGGTTGGCTGGGAATTTTCTATTTGTTCTTTTTTGCTGTTTGGGAATACACTATCAGAGAAAATTGGGAGCTTTTATTCTTCTTTGCATTATTGGGTTGAAATCTAGATTAATTTCTATGTTTATTGTAGGCTATCAATTCTGTGGTCTTCCAAATATTTTTACAGAGTCACCAAAATTAATGACTTTTTATGCAACCATTTCTGCAATCAGAAATATCAATGGTCCAGTGCTGTTTAGAAACCATGGAGAATAAAGCAATTACTTTGGCTTGAAATTAAGTATTTCCAACAGTGCACTGTAAACACAATCATACAAAAAATAAGCAATGGATGTTATTGCAATATAAATTACTTTATAAAAGGGGTATTTTAAAATACACTTATCATTCATACCAAAAATATCTTCACTTCTTGTATTTTGGAGGATTTTTGGTTGGTATTTGAGGTTTTGTTGAAATAGTTGGTACTCCTTTTTAGTGTTACTGGGGAGTTTGCAACAAAAATCACGATTTGAGATTTTCTTCCTCTTCCCCCCACAACCTCTCCATGACCAACAAAGCGATGCTGTGTTTCTGTGAAACTAGGTATTTGAAAATAGATCTTTCAGGATGGATCGACCAAGTCTTGTCTGTAAGATCTATTGATTCTATTTTATTTATTTTTTCTTCTTCAGGCACATATGTGTTTTGTTAAAGTATTTACTGGTGGTACAACATTTATTTCTGCAGATCTGGCCTTTCTGTTGGGGAGAGGCTGTAATACGCAGCTTTTGTGTGTTGTGTGCATTGAACTCCCGTGGTGATTGAATTTAAATAGTTGCACCGCTGCTTCACATTGTGACAATGAAAGAACAGGCTTTGCGGACTTCAAAAGTAAATAGATGTGCATTTTTTTCTGTGCCTTCAAAGTACATTTTTCTTATAGTTTATTCACTTAAGAATAAGCATTTAGCAAACTATTAAACAACAGCTTACAAATTGTACTGGTACGCACTCTGTGCAAGGATGCTTTGAAAACTGTAATTATTGACGTTAGGTGTTATTTAAAATAATGCTTTATTTTTAGAAGTTGATTTCTTGTTAGGCTTTTAATCTGTAGGAAGTATGAATAGTCTGTACTGGCTGATTTCACAGATAGATTTGATGGTGAATAATGTGTAATTTAATGAAGAGGATTGCAGAATGATAACTATGCATATGGATTTTTTTATGATCTCTAAAGGGATGCAAGAAGTCTTGGATCACTGAATCTGCACAAAGCTTTCCTGGTTTTCTGGCAAATGAAGGAAGAATTATAATTAATTGTCCAGACAATTTACTCCTAGCCTTAGCTTAGAAGAGCAGTTAAACATGCACATAGATTGCTGAATCAGGACATTAATCCATATTATACACAGTCCAGCATATTTGTGATTAATTCTGAAAGAAGCAGTTGTTACATGCAAATCAGATCCATTTCTGTGTAATTTATGTTCATCGGGGTTATTCTGTTCTGAATTTTGCAACTTAACTAAGAGGATATGGTAATCCTTAGAAATCACAACTTTGCCGCTGTTAAAGACTTTTAGGTTGGAGAAAGGAAGGGTTTTTTCTATTTGATGAACTACACGTGCAGTGCACAATACTCTCTAGCTATAGAAAGCCATCTTTGAAGATATTTACACTGATGCAGAAGATACTACTGTTGAAATTTAAATGACTAGTGCACCTGCATTTCTAGGAACGCCAAGCTATTTTATTTCTTGCGTTGAACCAAGAAGAGTTAAATGTACGATACGTTGCACCGAGTGGTGATCATAGCTGGTGTAGTTAGTCTGTCTTATTGTTAAATGATTTCTCCCATGACTCTAAAGTTTATGCTGCTGTGTGTAAGTGCCACCTCAACCATTCGCAAGTAATATAAGGCATTTATCATAAATGTCACATGAATAATAAAGAGTTAATGGGCAACTAGGATCCTAATTAGTCCCATTTATAACACTCGCAGCAAGCGTCAGGCTTTAGGGAAGTGAGAGTCCAGTTTGGCAGAGGGCGAAATGCGAGGGAGAGCAGATGGTTCACTCTTGCTCGAGGAGCGTTGGTGGCTTGGGGTCATGGAGATAAGGGGAACCTTTTCCCTTACTCCTTATTATGGAAAGACAGGTGTGACAGGAAGATAGATCCTTTGTTTTTTGGAAGCATCAGGGTAGGTGAAGAGATGGCATCATTTCTTCCTGTGTAATTACAGTCTCTGGATCTTCTGAAGGGGGTAAAACTTCAATAACAGCTACCGAGCATACTACTAAAGTAGTTCAACATCAAAGATGATGCATGTTGAGCAGAACAAATAAAAGATCTATACAGAAAAGGCAGAAAAGGTGTTGTCTTCCTTCAGCAGGTAAACAGAATAGAAATTAGCTGGAACAGGCTGGCACAGTTTCATCTGACTGAATTTTTATCAAGTTTGAAGTTTTTCTGAAAAGCCACGTGATACTGATTTGTCCAACCTGTACAATGAATTTTAACATGAGACCCCAGAGCTTCATGTTAAACTTACCTGTGGAAATAGTGTTCACAGACTCTCCATTGAAATTTCTAACAATATATGTTTTTTCTCCTTGCTTCAAACCCAGACATATAAAAATTGTAATGTATGTAGTGGCTTTTCTGGATGAAGCACAAATAAGATGTATTGGAAAAGTGCATGAGTAATTTTAGAGCTGAAACAGTTAGCTAGAGACAGCTGTCATTATATGTGGATTCTCATAAGTAATTCCACAGTTACCAATTCATGTGATTTTTCTTAGCTTTGATAACAATCAGAAATGGAATATGGCTATGGCTTGGTTGTTATAACTGAGAGGGGTTGTTCTAACTGTTATAACTATAGCACCACTTACAACTTCATTGTTATAACTGCCCTATTTGCTATTTTTCACATTTTTGGTGGCTGTTTCCTTGAATCTTGGTATCAGCCCTATTTAAAAGACAAATAAAAGTAAAGCAACATATTAGTGCAAGTGCTATCCAACCTAAAAATTACGATTTCCATTAGAAGAGGATTTAAAAACCTACAACCATCATTAATTTATGTACCAAATCTAAAGCCATTGTAGGTCATCGCGAATTCATCAGAGTGACTGGATTTCTATAGTATACCTGTCCAAGTTTGTCAATGCTTGATCAGAAAAAAAATTGAACTATAAGCTGATTTGATTTGTTACTTGAAATATTTGCAAGAAAGAAATATATTAGCTCTGATTCTAAATCTCTTCTTTATAAATAATCTTTACGTGGCTAACCCTTCGTTATCTTTGTTTAGTGTAGTAGTCAAACTAAGCAGAAACAGAGGAACCCTTGAACACTACTGGGCAGAGTGCTGCCTTACAACGTGACTTCAAGAATTCTTGGGCTTTTGGGTTGTGTTTTCTTTGGAGATTTGCTTTGATGATGTATACAAGTATAGCCATCTTTATTTAAAGAGATCTATTAAAGTGGAAGAGGGTTGGTTTTTTTAACTTAGAATAGTCTTTTGGTTGTTTTAGTATAGTAGGATATAGACTATCTTAATAAATTATTAACTATTAGTTATTTTTGTACCATGAGTGTGCAACTGTTTTGCAGGTGTTGCGTGATGTGACGTGTGGGGATTTTTCATCTGCCACAGAGCATATCTCATATAAACCACTAATGATGTAATATCACTACTTAGAAAGTGAAACTACTTCTGCAATACTTTACCAGAATAATGCATTTGTTCTCTAAATGAGGCATTGCAGTTTGAATTATCGTGCCATAAAATCACTTATTTTTCCAGATAAATTGAAACATTACTGTCTTCACAATAGGATGGCTGCTTATTTACATTCCAGTTAAAACGTAAACTAGATAAAAGCACTGTATTATCCATTCCAAAAAAAAAAAAAAAAGAAAAGAAAAAAGGCAAAAATCAAGGTTTGATTTGAGGATCAAAACCAGGGACGGTGATAGATAGAAGAAATCTCATCATTTTGCTGCAGAACAGTTCAGTTGGTACTTGTAGTAAAACATGCACAATGGCCTGTAGTGTCACTGCCTGTATTTCTTTATCCTCAAGAGCTTATAGAATTTACTAGTACAAACTTTCCTTTAAGTAGTGATAGGTGGAAAATGGACATAATTTTATTAGAGACAGTGTTATTTTATCATTGTATTAGATAAAGATATCTGTCATCTGACTGTATGTAGGAAGTAGCGATAAGCATTTAGGGAGACATTTAAAATAGCTGGAATATTTTTTTTAAAAATACACACATACGCACCCAAGTAGCTTTATATTCATATTTAGCAAGAGGTTAGATTTTTGTTTTATTCCAGTAAACACTTCATACAAACTTCAAAACTGATCTGGAAAGCAAGCTTTTAACTTTATTGTTATAACTTAGACTATAGTCAGTATGAATATTTTTGGCAAGCATAGCAATGTTATGTCTTACATTTGTATTCAATGGCTGGATGAATTAGTGGTTTTACAAAGCCATCTGCTACTGATGTAAATCCTTTTAGCAACAGAGAAACCTTCCCATCCTTAGGTAATCTTCATTAATTACCCTGTGGCTGACTCTTCTCTTATTTCTAGTGTGAACGTCACTAGCTTCTGCCATCAGATATAAATCTAAAAATATTTTTTTCGGGCAGCTACATGGGGCCCATGATATTTTCCCTCTCTCAGACATAAACTGAGGCTTTGTCACTGTCTTCATCACATTGCAATTTTGTGCGGTTGTTTTCTGAAAGTTTGTATATCTGTAATATATACTGAAAATTTGTGTTTGTGT